CTGTTCACTCGCCCGTCCGCGTCCCTCCGTCCGTCCGTCCGCAGACGGCGCGGCCTCGGTCCGCGTACCTTGCTCCACGTGGAAGAGCGTGAGCCTGGCCAGGTTCACCTTCAGGATGCTCTCCCCGTGCCCCGTGGTTGAAATGGCTCCAATGTCATTGTCGGCGTAGCCCCCGGATCCTGCTCGGAGGGAAGGGTGGGTTCTGCCTGAGCAAGAGGGAGGCCGTTCACACACACAGTCCGAGTCTAAAGCTACCTCGATGTCCAGTCCCAGAGCGCAGGCAAGGTCAGAGGAGGGGCCATGACCTTGGGATGCCAAGGTGGACCAGTAAGCACCTGTGACCGCCCTGAAATCAGGAGGATGCAGGGAGCCGGGGTGGGGGAGGGGAGGGGAGGCCTGGGGCAGCTACCCCAGGACAGCTCCTCCTTTGCCCCACACCCCCCAGTCTGCACCCCCTCCCCACCACCCGCTCCTGGGAACGAGAGGGAACCGGCTCCAGTCCTCATGGGGCACGTTTCAATCTGTAACATTTCTGTGGCGAGCGGTGCATCCCTCTGGTGCCACTCAAATCTAATGACCGCGCCCGCCAGCTTTCTGCTTTCTCGCTCGTTAATTTGCGCCCGTGCCTGGCAGAGGGCGGTGTATTTAACATTCGGGACTAAGTCTGTGGATCCGGAAACTAGAGCTGGAGAGAAGAGGGAGGCACGGTGGGTAGCTTGGGGGCACCTTCAGCTTCCTGATCTCCATCTCCCTCCCCATGTCACCCCGACTCTTGGGTCATGCGCTTGAGGGAAAACAGCGCCTGCTGGGTAGGAAGCAGCGCCCCAGTGACCCCCTCCAACTGCTGCCACTCCCAGAGGAGAGGGGAGGAGAGGGGAGGGGAGGGGAGGGGAGGGGAGGGGATGGGAGCAGTCAGCGAACGTGAACTTGATGACGGGAAGGAAATGGGGGCGGGAGTCCTTCTGCAGCACTACCTATGCAGGGCGAGTCCCCGACTCGGCCGACCATCTTATTCACGATGCCCCCCGTCGAGGTGGCGTAGGCAACGTCTCCTTTGGAGTCCAAGGCAACAGCGCCCACCGTTCCCAAGTGTCTGCAAAAAGTAAACAGAAAAAAAAGTGGCAGCGTGAAGACGGGCACCACGCAGCTCAGTGCCTGCCAAGGCCACGCCGCCTGCAAATGGCAAACGGGACACACGGATCCCCACGGTCCTGACTCAGGAGCCGGCAGGGAAAGCGTAAGGCGACAGTGCAGCTCAGACTTGAGTGCGATGAACAATTCCCTGGGTCCCCCCTCCCCCTCCCCCTCTCCCTCCCCTTCCCCTCCCCCTCATTCCCTCCTCCCTTCCCCCTCCCCCAGAGACGCAGAGTTCCCATCCCGGTGGGACCCGAGACCCCGCATTTCCGACTACCTCCCAGGAGCCGCTGAGGCTGCCTGGCCGCGCCCCGCGTTGCCAGGACTTGCTGTAAAGACGAGATGTGGTCATTTCCCCCGACCATTTTGTTATACACCTTCCAGAAGAAACGCTGAAGGAGTTGCACGGTAGCCACCCCCCCCCCCCAAGATCCTGCAGCGAGCGAGGTGTGGGGCACTTTTGTGGGTGCCCTGCGGGCTGTCCCTCCCCTGGAGCTGCCGGGCCCAGGCCACAGGGCCTCAACCTCCACGTTTCACTGAACCCATCTTAGACTAAGGGGGTGGGGTGGAGAGGGGGGGGTGCGGGGGAGGAAGGGAGCGTGGGTGGCGCTGGGCTGTGTCTAGGGCCTCGGGAGGAAGTGGGGGCCAGCTCCGCTGACCCCCAAAACCCGAACACAGCTGCTAAACTCGTGGGATTTCGGGGAGGCCACCGTGGCGGGAGAGAGCAAAGCCAGGGAGGGTGTGGGAGGCCACAGGGCTGGCCGGCAGCCAGATGGAAGGCTGGGATAGGTGGGTGACCACCGGCCGGCAACCCAGGTCAGTCCTGTCTGAGGCTGCCGTCCAGGCTCAGTGGCCCCTGCACGCTCAGCATGGAGTCCCGGCTTGGACCCCGCAGCACAGGGCCCCCCTGCACACAGGCCACCGGGAGGGCTTCCACCAGCGACTGCGGAGACCTGGGCGTGTGAGCCGAGACGCGTCACAGCATCGGCCGGGGTTTAGAAAGGACCTGGGCCCCCCCCCCCCCACGCGGCTACAGTGAAGGCCTTGGAATCGGTTGTGGGCCGGGCTGTGCGGGGCCTGGGTCCTCACTCACCCCCGCAGGAGAGGGGAAGCCCCTCTGGAGCCCTGGCCAGGGTGGTTCAGTGAATAGCGCGTTGGCCCGTGAGTGCACCGAGGGGTCTGGGTTTCGATTCCGGGTCAAGGGCACGGACCAACCCTGAGGCAGCCGATCGATGTGTCTCTCTCACATCCATGTTTCTCTCTCTGTCCTCATTCTCTCCCTCTCTCTCTAAAAACCAATGGGAAAAATATCCTCGAATGAGAATAACAAAACAACAATGAATACAGCCTCCGGAAAGCCACGCGCAGCGTCTATGGCAGCCGGTGCAGCGATGGCACGCCTACACCTTGCCCAGCGGGCGAGCAGGCCTGCTCCTGCGCATGTGCCGGGGAAAACCCTAAGATGCAAACTGACCGAACAGCAGAACAACTGGCCACTATGAAGCACACTGACCACCAGGGGGCAGACCCTCATCGCAGGAGCGTCTTTCTTCCCGCCCCCCCAAGGGAGGTGACCAGGGGGCAGGGCCGCCCAGCAGGCAGCACCAGCCTGCCAGCCAAGGTGGGTGCCAGTGGGGGCCCCCCGATCACCCGCCCACTGGTTGCCCCACAGCTTGGCCCTGATTGCCGGCCAGGCCTAGGGACCCTACCCTATATGTTGGGAACAGTCTCTTAGAGTTAAAAATTAAAACCTGGCAAGGCTACTCTACCACTGAAAAAGCAGGATGATGCAGCGATGACATGCATGGATCAGGCTTGCACATTTTGTGGCCAGCCCTGATTCGGACACTTACAACTGTGACAACACCAATGACTTCACTTCTCTCTGCTTCAGTTTTTCCACCCATAAGATGGGGAAAATGGCACTACTGCCTCAGAAGGATCATGTTACGTACTACTTTTTATAATCAGGGCAAATAAATGTAGCTGCCCATCCCCGAGGGGTCCCAGATTGCGAGAGGGCACAGGCCGAGCTGAGGGCCCCCCTCGTGCCCCCCCCCCCCACACACAAATTTCATGCACCGGGCCTCTAGTTTAGTTATAAACATGTGATAAATGTGTCTCAAAATATACTGTCCTGCTATGGTATTCATATGACTGAACGCTGACAAACCACCAATGATGACTTAGTTGTTATTGTTCACATTTGGATCCTCTCATCAGCTGGGGACGCCGGGATGAGTGAAACAAGACACACACACAAAATACATCAATTGTGTATTTACTCCGTGAAATTGATTTTCCTCGCCTCGTATCAGAGAGCACTGATGACGTTCTCATGATCAGCATTTCCACACAACACCCACCCCACGGGGGAAGCGCTGAACGAGGCGGACTTTCCTGAGTCCATAGACTTCTTAGCAAGTTCTTCACTCATTTTAGTTGGAGAGACTTCACTCCACTGAGGCAGCAGCAACTGGAATTTCCAATAGAATTCTGGAAGCTGGATTACCTAGATTTGGAAATGAATCCCGATTCTGACGTTACCACACTCAAATGCAATACGGGGTTACATATGATAAACTCTCCTCGCAGAAGATATTCCCACTTTCATTTGATCAGATGCATCACATTCCCTTATTTAGATCCATGCGGAACATCTTAAGTTCTTTCAAATTTAAATGCTGGTGGTTATAAAGAAAACTGGAAACAGCAGTACGTTGTTCAAACCTCTCTTCAAGTGGTGCTACGCTCTGAGAGTGGACAGAAAAGTAGCCTCAGTAGAAACTGGTTTCAGGATTTGGGACGCGAGTCTGCTCCAAGCCAGACCAATATCTTTGTTGCCTTGATCCAATTTCCTTATATTTGATGGGGTTGTTATTCTTGCATAGTTCACATGCACTTTTGGTTTTGTTTCTCTAAACTTAAAAGGATACTTTTAATCCTATTAAAAAGCAAATAACCAAACTTGGATGTTTTCAAAGCTTCTGTTAAGCTTAGCAATGGAAATTGACAGTTCAAACTAAGTAACTGTAGATAGCATACATTCAGACGAGATCGGGCGCGTTCAGGGTGGTATGGCCGTAGACAGTAGATAGCATACATTCAAAATTAAATTTCACTTTCTGTTAAAGGCCATGATTTGTTCTTTGAGAATCTTCTGTGGTTTTGATCAACTCTTCTTATCTAGATTGGATTTAATTGCTTCAACAGCACTTAGTCGGTGTTCCCACCACGTGTCTGAGATTCGTTGTGAAGTCAGCTATGCGTCTGACCAAGCTGCTCCATTTTGGGCAGATCTAGACCCCGGACTGTCCCACAGCATCTTCACTGTTGGCCCAGCTGAGGGCGTGTCTCCTAGAAAAAGTCAAACCGTGCGCTGTACGCGTGTCACACAGAGCACTGCTGGATTCTTGGCCACACTTCATGCTTCTATACCTTTTGCTTACCAACCACGTCAGCTCCCTATCATAGGCTTGCCTTCCATCATTCAATTTAATTTATTGATTTAAAAAATATTTTTCTTGTTTTCAGAGAGGAAGGGAGAGGGATATATGTAAACACCAATGTTGAGAGAGAATCATGGATTGGCTGCTTCCTGCACAACCCCCACTGAGGATCGAGCCCGCACCCGGCGCCAGGGCCCTGACCGGGAATCAAACCCTGACCTCCTGGTTCATAGGTCGATGTTCAACCACTGAGCCATGCGGCCAGGTGATCATTTTATTCTTTTAAATACATATTTTTTTATTTCAGAGAGGAAAGGAGAGGAAGGGAGAGGAAGAGAGAGAGAGATAGAAATATCAATGATGAGAGAGAATCATTGATTGGTTGCCTCCTGCACAACCCCTACTGGGGATCGAGCACACAACCCGGACATGTGCCCTTGACTGGAATCAAAACCTGGGACCCTTTAATCTGCAGGCTGACGCTCTATCCACTGAGCCAAACCAGCTAGGGCTAGGCGATCATTTTAAACATTAATTTTAGTCTAAGTTAAAAAGCGTTCCCCAATTCTTCTCTTCATTCAAAACGCATCCCTTAAAAAGCAGGTGTAAAGCCACTGAAATGCTCATTGATTTAAGCTTGCTTTTCTTCTCCGGGGAGTGTAACGATGCACAGAATGTTAGCTGTTCAACATGTCTTCTCACCAGGGAACATTCTAGTTGAACTGAGTACTTTAAAAAGTTTACATGTGATTTCATCTCTCAGGTATTACCCATTCAATCAACCGATCTAGATAGTGATCATTAGTTTCCTTATTATTTATCCTAATCACACGTTTGGCATTTTATCAGATTGTGAAATAACTGTTACTCAACCTAGAAAGTTTCCATTGTTTTTGTAAACACTGTGTTGTGTGCCTGGAAGGCAGCGTTCGGCTTGGCTAATGTCGGGCACCTGGCCTCATTCTTTGGAGGACACGACACTGATGTTTCATGCCAGTGTTTTCCTGTGTTTTCAGTGGTCCGCTGTCGAGGCAGCGTCCCCCCCACTGCTGGCACCTGCTCCGTCCTGTTCTGTGCGGGAGGCTGTGGATTAGCAGCTACGGCGTCCGTTGGGGAAGAAGCCGAGGTTGCAGGGACTTCATCCGGACCCGCCAGGTTGTGGATTTGGAGAGAACAGTGTTGTTGTGACTTTCATTGTTTGGACGAGTCATGAGCTCTTCATTGGACAGAGACTGTCGCGCCCGCGTGCGTAGCTTTTGTGGGCTCAGCCGGGAAGAAGGCGGCCTCCTTTTACTGTTTTGCCTCTAAAAATGCAAGCAGACGGCTTCTTGGAGGTTTTTCTTCTTCCTTCTCAGTTTTTCCTTTGGGAGTTCCTCTTGTCTTTTCTATCAAGAGCGTGAGACGTGGACCCATTTTCAATGATCTAGGGTTGAAAAAGCGAAATGTAATTATATTGAATGCACAAAATTAGAATATAGTTTCATCAAAACTAAAGAGCAAAACAGTAGAAAAAATTTTAGGTACAGTTTAAAAAGGTTAGCTTTTTCCTAAAAGATGCAAAATTATCTCTACATATAAAAGGCTAATATGCAAATTGTCCCCTCGGGATTTCGACCGGGAGATCGGGAGTTTGATCGCTTGCTATGACATGCGCTGGCCACCAGGGTGCGGCGTGGAACAAAGGAAGACCCCTGGGCCAGCAGCCGGGGAAGGGAGGCCCTGGCCAGCCCTGATCTCTGGCCAGGCCTAGGGACCCTACCCGTGCATGAATTCTGTGCCCTGGGCCTCTAGTCTATTAATATTATAGTCAAACCATGAATTACAATGACTCTTAAACCCAAAATTGCTTAAAAGCTGGAAATTTTAACTTTATACCTTTGAAAATTCAACTAAATTGTTTAAACCTTTTATAAGAATACAAGCATCCCTACTTCTAACATTCAGTGTGTGTTTAGCTGCCAACATAAAGCACTGGGTCTTCCTGCAGGTGCTGTGAGGACTGCGCTGCCCAGTCCAGCGGGCACTGGCCACTCGGGGCACCAAGCACAGGGGATGGGGGAGTCCGCAGGGAGACGGGCTGCAAATGTCAAGTACCCGTCCGATTTTGAAGATTTCGTATGAAAGAAGAATATAAAATATCTCAAATAATTTCTTTCCTTCTTCTTTTTTTAAATCCTCACCAGGGGACATTTTCCCATTGATTTTTAGAGAGAGTGGGAGAGGGAAAGACAGAGAGAAACATCAACGTGAAAGGAACACATCGACTGGTTGCCTCCTGCACGCACCCTGACCAGGGCCTGGGCCGGGAAGGAGCCTGCAACCCAGGTATGTGATGTTGACCGGAATCGAACCTGGGACCCTTCGGTCCGCGGGCCGATGCTCGATCCACTGAGCCAAACCAGCCAGGGCTCAAATACTTTCTTATACTGATGATGTGTTTAGACATAATGGGTTCAATATATATAATATTAATTTCACCTGTTTCTTTTTACTTTTTAAAAATAAGTCGCTCATATTGGACAGTGCTGATCTAGACCTACATATACAGGGTGTCCCCCCAAAATGTATACACACACTTTGAATAATTATAAAGGCAGTGTTTATTAAAATACATTTCATTTTCAACACTGAGCTATCGGCTGCTAACGTGTGTATCGATTTTTGGGGGGACACCCTGTATATACAAACTGAAGAGTGACAGGCACCAGCCCTCGCGTACAAGTCTGGCAGCTGCTGTACCAACTCACGAACACCCCAGAACCACACGTTTAAACAAAGAACGGAGACGCGGCACCCCGAGAAGCAACACGCCGTCAGGCGAGAACTGACTTGACAAGCTATTCGCTGGCCTTTTTCTCTTACCGGACGCTGCTGTTCGCTCTCCCCCACTCCGAGCGGCCGATGAGGCCGGCAGCGGCGCGATCCACCGACCTTTAGACTCAGGCGGCCTCTGCTTCCCGGACACAGAGCAAGGGGCGCACGAAGGCGCCTCCCTGGGGGCTGAATGGTGTTAGTCACGAGCGTGGACGACGAGGGCGACGGGTCACGCGGTGCCGCTGCGAAGTGACAGGTGCCCGGGTGCCTGTAACACACCAACTGCTTTGTGGTTTTGTGACTGAGGGTCCCCCGAGGGCAGGGCCCGGGACAGAGCCCTTCGTGCAATCCTGGCTGGCGGAGGGGTGTGTCAGGAAACAGCGTGGCGAAATCGTACATGAACCACTGACAGAGCCTCCCCGTCCCGGGACTCCGCCTGCGGACACCACAGACGCTCCGCGGGTTACCAAGGCCGCCAACGTAGGCCGCCGGTGAAACACCCCTTCCCGCGGGAGACGCCTCCTGTGCCCGCCCGCCGCCATCTAGGCCGGCCATGCTGCCTTCGAGAAAGCTCCCTAGGACTAGGTGACAGTAGAGGCGCCCCTGGCTAAACGGCTCACATCTGAAAACCAGGCAATGCCAGTAGATTCCGTTCCATTGGAAACTCCCAGGCCACGTTCAAATTTCACTTCTCACATTTCGTTTCAAATAAGGGGGGTTTTATTTGGGATTCTGACCCCTGTAACAGAAAACTGCAGTTCAGGACGTAGGATTAAGGCAAACTTCTAAGACAGAGGTTCTCAACCTGTGGGTCGCGACCCCTTTGGGGGTCGAACGACCCTTTCACAGGGGTCGCCTAAGACCATCCTGCATATCAGATATTTACATGATGATTCATCACAGTAGCAAAATGACAGTGATGAAGCAGCAACGAAAATAATGTTATGGTTGGGGGTCACCACAACACGAGGAACCGTATGAAAGGGTCGCGGCGTGAGGAAGGTTGAGAACACTGCTCTAAGAGCTGTGCTGATTTCTCTGCGCCCTAAAAGGGCGTAAGGGGCCCAGAGGGGACACCAGATGACAGAGCGTGTTTAGTCTATAAGATAGCAAGCTGGTCCAGAAGCATCAACGAGTCCTGGCTGGTCTGGCTCAGTGGATAGAGCGTCGGCCTGCGGACTGAAGGGTCCCGGGTTCGATTCCGGTCAAGGGCACATGCCTGGGTTGCCAGCTTGATCCCCAGTAGGGGACATGCAGGAGGCAGCCAATCAATGATTCTCTCTCATCATTGATGTTTCTATGTCTCTCTTTCCCTCTCCCTTCCTCTCTGAAATTAATAAAAATATAGTTTAAAAAATAATAAAATAAAAATATATTTAAAAAAAGAAAAAGAAGCATCGGTGAGTTCACACAGTAACGCAGGCACGCCTGTATCAAGTCATGCTGGGAGGGAGCTCTGCTGGCCGGGTGTGAGTGAGTTCTCACCCTGTATCAGCGATGGCGAGCCTTTGAGCTCGGCGTGCCGGCATTTGGAAAAACCCTAACTTAACTCTGGTGCCGTGTCACATACAGAAATTTTTGATATTTGCAACCATAGTAAAACAAAGACTTATATTTTTGATATTTATTTTATATATTTAAATGCCATTTAACAAAGAAAAGTCAACGAAAAAAATGAGTTCGCGTGTCACCTCTGACACGTGTGTCATAGGTTCGCCATCACTGTCCTATATCATAAAAGCGTAGTATGCAAATTATCCCCTCCACCAGAGTTCTTCCGGGAATTCGACCAGGGGGCGGGCTGGGCGGGGGAAGGGAGGGAGGCCTGGCGCTGGCAGGTGGCCAGGGGAAGGGAGGGACACCCTTGCTGTTGGCGGCAGCCGCTAGGGACCCTGCCAGTGCACGAATTCTGTGCCCTGGGCCTGAGGGAGCAGTAGTCACTGAGGCTAAGTTTATTATTAAAAGGCAAAGGGGTAGTCTTCCCGTCACTGTGTGCATTATGCTGTTCAAAGAGTGAAACTGCCGCACTGCTGGGCTTCTGGAAGGACTGTAAGTAACCCAACATCCGCCCGCCTTTCACACCCGAGCATCCCCCCACCGCGAGCCACAGGCGGCGCTTACTTTTGCGGCTCTGGCTTCGGAGCGCTTTTGCAGTGCTTCTCCTTCTCCAGGCGTCTTCTGTTTCTCTCTGTTACCAGCTGCTCCCTAGGAACCTCTCGGACCCCCATGGCGGCTGCGAACTCTGCGGCCCCCCGGTCAGTCAGGAAGCAGTGAGGCGTCTGGACCAGATGGAAACGGGGTGAGTTTTTGAAAAAGTTGAAATCTTTTTAGCTGTTCCTACCGTGTGAAGAGAATGACTCCTCTCCGGGTACAAAACCTCAGAAATGCAGATTTCAGTGGCTCACTTTTCTGAATGTTGAAAAGAGGCTGGCTTTGAGTTTTCTATTAAAAAAAAAAACCCCACAAAAATAAAAATGATGGTATAATGCTAGAGATGTGATTTACATAGGTCTTTTTAAAAAAATCCTTACCCGAGAATATATTGAAACATTTTAGAGAGAGAGGAAAAGAGAGGGAACGAGAGGGAGGAGGGAAGGGGAGGGGAGGGAGGGAGGGAGAGAGAGAGAGAGAGAGAGAGAGAGAGAGAGAGAGAGAGAGAGACATACACAGAGAGAGAGAGAGAGAGGTAAAACATTGATGTGAGAGAGAAACATCAATCGGATGGCTCCCCTATGCATCCCGATGGGGGATCGAACCTGCAGCCTAGGTCTGTGTCCTGACTGGGACTTGAACCCTGGCATTTTTGTGTATGGATGACGCTCCAACCAACCAAGCCACCCGGCCAGGGCTACATATGATCTTACATTTAGAGAACATGATCCGTTTTTACTTAACACATCCTATTAAACAGCTGGTCTGTTCGGTTTGCATGTGCTATGTTCTACGTGTTGTGAGAAGGCTGGACACGGGAACATAACAGGGAGACAAAACAATCACTGGTCCAGTTACATTGCCCACGGAGTCAGACCCTGGCTCCGTGGAGGGACTTGACATTCCTTCCCTCCTTTCACACAATTGGAAGAGTGACCTCAAGTACGTCCCTACAGGCAGGCCCCTTTGGTCACCAAGGGCCGCGGCCGCCCCCAGGGAAAGGGCGCTTCTCTGGCCGCGCATACCTTCTCCATCACGAGCCGTGCCAGCTTGATGGGGTTCGCGATACAGCGCACGGCAGACACGGCGCCCGAAGACAGGTCTTTTCCACTCATGATACTGGCGTCCATTTCCACCTCCCCATTTACGTTCAGGACGGATCCACAGCCTAGACCCACAAGGAAGGGGAAAGCAAGAATCCAGAATTCAGAGCTGGCTCCGAGCTCCCGCTGAGCTGCCCACTTTACCTCCCCCTCCACTCCGGCGCCAAAGGAATAGTTCTTAAGACAGAAACCTGACTTGGTACCCCATGACCTGCCAATCAACACTCTGGAGCCCTTCTGACTCACTCTCCCAGCTTCACCTCCTCACTTGGGCGGGCGAGGTGTTCCTGACCTGTCAGGTTTCCCTGAACGCACCATCAGCTCTCATTGCCCTGCGCTTGGCAATGCTGCTCTCCTTCCCGCTAGGACACTTCCTCCCGCTTTCTCGGCCTGCATAATGCCCATAAGTCTAGTCTCTCTCTCTCTCTCTCAAATTATTATTGATTTCAGAGAGATAGGGAGAGGGAGAGAGAGAAACATCAGTGATGAGAGAACCATTGATCGGCTGCCTCCTGCACACCCCCTACGGGGGATGGAGCCTGCAACCCAAGCATATGCCCTTGACTGGAATTGAACCTGGGTCCCTCCCTTCAGTTCGCAGGCTGACACGCTATCCACTGAGCCAAGCCAGCTAGGGCAGTCTAGCTATTCTTTACCTCTTTGTGATGGTCTCCTTATCTGTAAAAATGGAGTGAGAACAAAGCTCAAGAATATTTAAAGGCTTATAAACATATCCGGCCCTAACAAGGTAAAATTCGGTGTTTGGTATCCAGTAGGAAATTACCAGGCACACAAAGAAACTGGAAAACATGACCCATAATAAGGAGAAAAAAAAATCAATCCATGGTAATAGATCCAGGAATGACGCAAATGATAGAATTAGTAGACAGGATGTTAAAGCAGCGGTTACAACTATATTCCTTATGCACCGGGACGCGGAGGAAACTATGAAAGAGGCTCAAATAGAACTTCTAGAGATGAAAACAAAAGACGACTGAACTAGAACCTACTGGGAGGGATTAACACCGGATCAGGGGTGTAGATGGGTCAGAATTGAGCTGAATTGGTGGACACCTCGCCGGTGCCTGAGCACTGCTTGGTGGGGTGGGAAAACCCACACGCACGGAACGAGGTGCAGAATCTTAGGAGCAAAGGCAACCACATGTAGCAAAGCTAAGCCTTTTCAACAAGCGGTGCTGGAACAACTGGCCATCCACATGCAGAAGAAGATAAATGCAAGTAAGCAAATAGCATGTGACAAAAATCAACTATTTTCATAACCCAGCAATGAACAATCGGTAACTGAAATTTTAAAAAGCATGTCGTATTTACCCCGCCACCAAAATACATGAAATAATTAGGTATAGATCTAACGAATGATGAGAGAGAATCATGGATCGGCTGCCTCCTGCACGCCCCGCCCTGCGGATGGAGCTCGAAACCCGGGCACGTGCCCGGACCGGGAATCGAATCCCCCTGGTTCCTAGGCCAACGCTCAACCACGGAGCCACGCCACCGGCTGGGCTACGGAACCTTTCTGTACCTTAGTTTTCTCACCTGACACATGAGCATAATAATTACACCCAACTCATCAGACTACCGTGCAGACGCATGAGTTAATCATGCACATTTCGCAGACACTGTCGGGTCAGCAGTGGGCATTCAGAGCAGTTATGACCGTGATGACTCTAATCCACTGAGTGAAAGCGGGCAAACACAGGCCGATCCATTCTCACGGCTGCATTTACATGGCGTTCCCGAGAATGCAAATCCGTCTACAGCAGCGTTCTCAGCCTTGGCTGCACATTAGAATCACCTGGGAATCTTTCTAAAATCCTGATTTCTGGGCCTCATCCTCCTCCGGAAATTCTGTTTCTTTGTTACTAATGTCGTGACCTCCACCCCATCACAAAGAAACAGAATTTCCGGAGGATGAGGCCCGGAAATCAGGATTTTAAAAAGATTCCCAGGTGATTCTAATGTGCAGCCAAGGTTGAGAACCACTGGTCTACAGTGACAGAAGCAGCTCAGTGACGCTTGGTGCTGGGGATGAGTGGGGGAGAGTCACGGCAAAGAAGCGACTTTTGGGGGTGATGGGAAGGTTTTAAACCTTGATTGTGAGCGCGCTCCCCTTCCCAGCAGCATGCCCCAGCCTTTCCCTCCCCTCTTCTCCCCCCACAGGCCTGCATCACCCACCTAAACTCGAGGAGACCCCACCAGCCGCCCAATGGCCAGTGGCAGCTCCACCAGGGCTACCCCCCCCAACCTGCCGCAAGGTCCCTTTTTACCTGACTTCTCAGTGGCCAGAGCAGCCCCCCTTTCTCCTGTTGCTGCTTCTACCCTAGGCCCTTCCTTGGGTCACTATCCCCAACTCTAATAAGCGTCCTCTCATTTTTTTTTTTTAAATCTTGCTTGTGATGTGGTTACACAGGTGTATTATGCATTTTTTCACAACTCAAAATGGACGCAGTTTATGGTACGTAGTCTACCCCCAACGCCCCCACAAAAAGATGTCATAAGACCACCTCTTAACGATGTGAAGAGGTTACAGGGGAAAAAAAGGGAGGAAAAGCTTAAACAAGTTTAAAGCAACTTGGTCAACAGGTACTAGGAGAAAAATGAAATCTCTGAAGCATTTTGAAGTCGACCCCAAGGCGGATTTGCTTCACGAACACGCTAGACGGGGTCCCGTTCCCCCGGGGGAGTCGCTGAACCGGCTTGGCCGCCGCGCAGACCCACCTGCGTTGAACTCGGGGTCGTCCTCCAGGACGGCCACCGCGCTTTCCACCGCGTCCACCGCGCTGCCCCCCGCCTTCAGGACGCTGTACCCCGCGGTGGCGGCGCGCAGCACGCCCTGGCGCACCATCTCCTTGCGGTCCTTGGCGATGTGGCTGGCGCCGCCCCCGTGGACCACCACCACGGGGTTCACGGCCACCGGGTTCACGCCGCAGGGGTTCATGTCGACGGACCCGCGGGATCAACGGGACGAGAAGGTCATGTCAAAGGGCCCAGGGAGCCCACGGGCGCAGTCGGCTCGGGATTCCGTTGGGGACCAGGTCGGGCTTCTACTCCGGCAGGAAGGCGGGGAACACAGCTCAGGCCCTTTCTGGAAACCTGGGGGGTGGGGATGGTGGGGGGTCGGGGGTGGGGACCGGGGAAGAGGCGGCTGGTCTGAACTTCGCAGGAGGAGCCTAGAGCGCCCCCGGGCTCCCGTGTCCTCCCGCCCCCCCCCCCCCCCCCCCGGAGCCGGGCCACCGGCCGGGCAGGTGCGAGGGTGGCACCCGGGCCAGAGCCCCAGCCCGCCTCCCGGGCTCCCCGTCGGGCCTGAGTGTCACGGGCATGGACTGCTGGGGGCCCCCCACGCTGCCGGGGCCCCGCGGCTCCCCGCCAGCCATTTCCCCGGGCATCCCTTAGACCGGACACCCCAGGGGCCGCTTCACCGGCGCCCTCCCGCCTCGAACCACCGGCGTGGACTCACCGAGGCACCACGGGAGGGGGCGCCGGGCTTCGGGACGGGCCGAGCCGCCCCGCAGGACTCGGAACCTGCACGGCCCAGACCCTCCGCCAGGCGGGTCTGGAAACCGCTGGGCTCGCAACTGCCCCGCCTGCAAGGGCGCCGGGGCCGCGAGGGCGGGGCGCGCGCGGAATGGCCGTAACCCCCGCGGGAGGCCGCCCGGCTCGATCTCCCGGTTCGGCAGGCGTCTCCGCGGCCGCCGGACCCGGGGCTGCTGCACCCAGGTGAGCTCCCAGAGGGAGGCCCGCACCCCGTCCTCCTCCTTAACGGCTGGGCGGGTGTTGGCGTTGCTGGCGAGATGCGCCCAAAGATGGTCTAAGTGCCCACCAACCACTTCGATACCACCAGGAGCCCCAGTGCGGGCGGGGTTGGGTGAAGACGGTTTTGTAATTTAAATGTGAACGTTGAGAACGAAGACACCTACTAGGAAGGGCTTCTGGTGGCTAACTGGGTTCAAAACAAAACACACACACACACACACACACACACAAAGCGCAGCAGCCATTTCCACGCAGGGGCCTCTCCAGGGAACTGCACTTGCGGGAGAAGCCTGCTCGAAGCTGCGGCCTCTGCCCTGAACTGTCTGCACCGCCTGCCGCCTCTGTTCCTTCCCCGCCCGATCGGAGCCATGAAGCTCTACCAACCAGAGTGGCTCCACCCTCACTAAGGACCTTGCCTTTTGGACCAAACAAACTGCAAAGATTTGGAGTCATCCATCCTTTGCCGAGAAAGGACCAATCAGGGACCAGGGGCAGGGACTTCTGCCTAAATGAACCAACTGCAAGTGTAGTTTCCCTTTCCACTGAAGACTGGGCGGGGCTAAAACACCTAGGAGCTGAGCACACTGGTAAGGGGCAGGGCCTAGCCCAGCCGATGAGCCTAGCCTAGTGTACACCTTAGCCTAGGAGCCTAGTCCAGCTTTGGAGCAGAGCCTCAGAGCCTTGGAGCCTAATACATGACAATTATATGAAATTCACACCTTAGTGCCCACAAATACAGTTTATTAGAATACTAGTGACCCGGTGCACGGATTCATGCACATTAGGAAAGGAAATTAATTAGAAGGTGGCTGGCGGGTGGGGCGGGACTGGGCTAGATGGTCAGACACACCCTGGAGCCAACCTCCTGCAGTCCCTCCGCTGCTGGCTGCACCTGGGGTGGCGCCGTGGCTCGAAGGGCGTCTGTGGAGTGAGTGGGGTTCCCCCGGCAGGTGGGGGTCCCTTGGCCTGGCCTGTGGGGATCAGGCCGAAACCGGCTCTCTGACATCCCCCGAGGGGTGCCTGAGTGCGAGAGGGCACTCTGCAAAGTTGTTGCCATACAGGGTGTGGAACGCAAACACAAGTGTGCAGTAAACCAGATTCTGGGCTGACAGCGCCCCAGCAACAACATAACCCACGGCTGAAGGTGGAATCGCACAACCCCGCGAGGGATTGGGCTCCCTCCTCTCTGGTTTCGGGGTGCATCACCCGAGAACCGCCGCTGCCAAGTCACTACAGCTCGGCAGCTCCTGCATTGTATGTCTGCCCCCTGGTGGTCAGTGCGCATCATAGGCACTGGTAGGGGACACTTAGCATATTAGCCTTTTATATATATAGACATATATATAGCCACACCTATTTGTGTACATATTGTTGATGACTGCTGTCAAACTATGAGGAGAGACTTGGAGCTTCAACTGAGACCATCAGCCATTCTCCCTCTGGCTGCTATAGACAAAGCAGCTGACCTCTGGTCTAGGATCTCGAATTCTCTTTATCATCTTGCACAGCTGGTTAAGAACTTTGGAGTTGCCTCTTTCACCAAGGACCATCTTTTCTAAGCCAATTAGCCATTCCTTGGCGGGGGTGGGGGGTGGGGGGTGGGGGCAGAAGAGTAGGCTGCATGGACTGCATAGGAGTCCCTGGCTTAGGCACCGGAGTCCCATTGGAAAGGAGAGTCAGAGATCGCAGGTGGATGGGGAAGGACGAGGCCCTTTTTCCATCTTCTCTGTGTCTGACCTGGCAGAGAAAATGTTCAAGCATGAGGGTGAGGCTAGGGAAGGGCGTGAAGCCTTTTGTGTGGGTGCCACCTTTGTGTGGCAGTACCACGCCCTAAATGCTGGCAACTGTAGGCTCCACCCCAGTCTCCCCACATCGGGCACAAGCAACATGGGTTTGGAATCGGGAAGCCACAGAAGCGATGACAGTGGGAATAGCTTAGCAAAGAGCAAGCCTGTAATCCTTCCGGAGAGGACTCCTGCAGGTGGGTTCAGGGCCAGGCATCACGGTGGAAGGAGCTGGCGTTGAGCACCTGCATTAGCGTCGCTCAGAGTGACATCCCGCCTTCTCTGAAGCAGTTATCACTGATCCCGGAGGATGTGCAAAGATTCCTGACCCCCCCCCCGCCTCCCCTCCCTCTCTCCACAGCATTAACTGACATCTAGTAAGGCGAGGCTTCTGGTCAAAGGGCAGTGGATCCAATGCAGACGTTACTGCCTCCTAGTGGCCACAGCATGGAGCTCATCTCTAAATGGAGAGTCTAATTTAACAGGATTTCCCAGGTGCTGCTGGAGTTCATCCCCAGAGCTGGAGGGACCTTAAGAAGCCACCTGTTTCATCTTCTTCACTTTGCAGGCGGGATGTTGACGCCCAAAGTCACAGGTGGGGTCCAGGGCTACGCGGCCCAGGTCCCGGTCCATCCGCCACCTGGCGCTGCAGGCAGCTCCGTTCGGCCGCGCGGACTCCACGTGGTTCTGCGGCCTTCCTGCGTGCTGGGCATGGCTAATACTGTGCCAGGCAAAGACGGGTGCCACCCCGGCCTGGAACTATGGCTGCGGAGGACGCCTCGGAGACAGCCATGTGGCCAAAGACGGCAAACGCCCAGGGAGGATGCCATGGGACGCGGAGGAAGAAAGACCGGGTTTGCCAGCACCGCCAGCAAGCCCCCGGGAGTCGGGAGGGCGGCCCAGGCCGGTCTCTTTCGCAGCTCTCGGAAGGGCCCAACTCCGCCCAAGTCCTTGATCTCGGACGTCTGGTCCCCAGAAGTGTGAGGACAATATGTTTCCGTACCTTAAGCCACTCTGTTTGTGATGCTTTTGTTACAGCAACTCCAGCAAACCTATAAAGATTCTGTAGAGCGTTCCCTGTCCAACTCCTTCCAGTTGTCAATCACGCTTCCTGCATGGAAGGCAGAGCTGGAAGAAGAAATGGCGAAGCGCAGGACTACCTGGGCGAGCGGTACCAGAGAGGTCCCTCCAGACCCGCCTCCCACGCCCCGCCGGTCCTTCGCAGTGCATGCTGGGGCTTGTAGTTCCGGCGTGCGGAGTCCTGCGCGCGCGCATCCCCAACCGCCGGGCGACTTCCTCTTCGGCCGCGGCTCCCGGAAGCTAAGCAAGTTAAAGTTCAACGCTTCCTTTCCCCGCCTCCTAGTCCCGCAGACTGACAACGCAAGTAGCCAATAGATGGCCTGACTGGCGCTTTCTTTTACCCGATTGGCTTAGAGTTTTGCAGCCGCCCCGATAAATTTGCCGGGGATTGGTGGAGCCTTCAGTTTTGAAAATTCTAGATTTCGCCCGCCCAGCGCGGCCCATTGCTTCCCCGGAGCCGTGAGCCTCAGCGTTCGGGAGCTGAGGGTCTGGGCGGTCGGGGGCCTCGTCTAGGGAGGTCGCTGGACTTGGATCTGAGTAGCACTTAGGAGACGCGGTTTAACCGAGTGAGTGTGCGCGGGCGGCTATGGGGGAGGGGGGCCGGGGCCGGGAGTGGGGGAGTGTGTGTGTGAGGGGCTGTGTTAGGGTCGCTGAAGGAGGAACGCAGGAGGCCAAGAAGGGTAAAGGAGTATCCATTTATTGTTACATCCGCTAGCAGAAGGGCTGAGACCAAAATGGCACCAGCGGGGCAGAGCAGGGGGAGCGGGGTGTTTACGTCCCTTGTAAGGGTCAGTCCAGGACCAGGTGCAGGCGGTCCACTGGAAGCCAAGGCCGCTCACCTGAGACCTATAATGATAATAACAGGACAGTCGCCGGGGGTGGCGGTGGGGCGAGAGCCCCAGCCGAGCCGAATGGGGTGCAAGAATGTGCCCGACCGGGTGGCGGTTAGCAATTTGTTACTCCTCCCGCCAACTCCGGAGGGGGAGCGGTGGGGGAGGGGGGCTGCCCCCTTTCGGCCTGGGAATGGACGGGTCACCTCTTTCACGTGGCGAGGTGGCCTTCCTTAGCCCTGGGGCCGGAGTGACCCCCACCTCCCACCTAGGTCACAGGTTCTGAGAACATAAGCCCGTCCCCTCCGGGTGCCCAGCACCCTGCTCCGGGTCTGGGAGGCCGCCTGCTGACCTGGACGCGGGGGTCGCGCACAGCCCCCGGGTCGTGGGATGGGCTTGTGCCAGACGGCGCTTCTGTACAGTTAGCCTTCGCTCAACACCTCCCCTTCCCGCCGAGCAACATTTCAAACTAGCCCTTTCCGGATGCCAGGGCCGGCCCTCGCCCCTCCCCGGGCAGGTTCGCTGTCAGAGGTTCAGTTCCATCCAGACACCCCGGCCTTGGAGGGGGGCGGGTGGGCGGGTGGGGGTGCCCCAGGCCCAAACCGATGCCTGCCTGTCAGAGGTTGAATCGCGTAGCTTGTGGTTTAAGAGCACAGCTTAAATCCAGGCCCCAGGGTAGCTGAGTTAATTTCTCTCTGCCTCAGTTTCCTCATCTGCACCTGGGAGAGAATTAAATGAGATGATGCCTGACTTGGGCAAGGAATAGGGCTCTGTAAATGGGAGCAGCTCCCTAACTTCTTGCACCCTCAAAAAAGAACAGGCATTGCAAAGGAGGGCGGTGGGGCCTCCGGTCTGCTGTGTGGTGTGAGGGCGGTATTGGGGGAGGGGAGGATGAGCTCTCTTCCCTCTCGGGGGCAGGTGGGGTGCTCTGGGTTTGTGCACAGGGTTGACACGGCCGATGACATTTATGCTGCTCTTCCCAGGAGCCTCCTTCTTGTGCACTGACCCCCCTCCTTTCTCAGGCTCACCTTTGTCCTAACTGGTGGACCCTTTTAAAGCTGAGCTCTGCTAAACACAAACTTCCCTGTGGAAGACCTGGGAAGTCTCACTAACTCCCGTGAAGGTCCTCATGAAGATCCTTGAGTAGTACTAGTATAACTGTGGTTTTGAAATCTGTGCCCAGTGGTTTGCTCGCTTCCCTTTCTTTCACTTGTGACATGTTTCTTTGTCTCCGCGTTTTGGCTGCTTCCCTGTGTTCGCTTCTATGTATTAGGCAGAGCTGCCACGTCTCCTGGAGTTGGTAGAGTGGCCAGGTGTAGCAGGTGTCCTGTAGGGCCCAGTGGCTCAGCCTCCCCAGTCACCTGAGCTGGGCACTCTGGCTGAGTCCCTGTGTGGGCTGTGTGCACAGTGTTGTAGTTGAGCCTTGACTGCTGTTGGCCTCACTGGGAGGAGTTGACCACGAGGCCAGTTGGCTGTGAGGACCAGCTGCGACTACAGTGGGAGAGCTGCTGTGCAGAAACACCCCTATGGAGCAGGACTTGCTTCTGTGGGGCTTTGGTGCTCACTGAGGCTGCCCCTCGAATGTGTTGCTTGTGGATGTGCAGAGTTGTAATCTGCTGTGGTCTGAAGCTGTCCACCAGGTGGGTCTAGGGCAGGAGTGGGCAAACTTTTTGACTCGAGGGCCACAATGGGTTCTTAAACTGG